ATTTTATGGGGGCACATTAAAAGATGTTTCCATAAAGTTTGGGTTGGCACTCTCAGATTTTAAGGACCACAATCAGATGATGAAAAGCAATAGAAACTCAACAGTTACGATTTACTTAGATGTGATAGTTGAGCCTGATTCTATTACTTTTTTTTTTTATTTCACACATGCTATACCAATATCACTAGTGCTAAGTATTCATTTGTTCAAATTCTGTCTTCTGCCATTTAGCTCCACCCATGTCACATTTACTGTAACATGTTGGGAAGTTTTTGTTTTTTTTCATTTTACTTTGTTTTTGTTTTTTTTGTTTTTTGCGACTTTCTGCATCATTTTGAGATCATTACCAGTTTTATGAGTAATTTATATAAGATAACACAAGACAACTAAAGCATTTCTCAGACGTAAAAATCAGTTATCATTAGCCCTGAAAATTCATTCAATGATTGACTATATTGACTTTTAAGAGTTATTATTAAGATATCATAACAGCCAGGGGAGCACGCTCATAATTTCTGATATTGGGGAACAAATTAATTTTTTTTATCTTTGGATCCTTACTTAAAGAGAAGAAATTCACCCGATCAAGCTGATCCTAGCTATCTGTGATGAAGCAGGGAGTGTGTATCTGCCAAATAAAAATTAATTTTATAAATGCATATTGCTTCAAATAGTTCTTCAAGCGAAGGTAGCTTTGTTTGATCCATATACTTGCTTTCATTTCTATTTAATGAGAGGAATTCCCACACCAGCAGATAGAGAAGTTAAGTAGGCTTCCAATTATTGCACTGTTTTAAGTCTCTTAATATTTTGTTTGTTTTGATGTTAGCAAAGCCCCTTTTCACTAAATTTTCACATTTCAGTAAATCCTAGTTAGAAGCATACCCTAATTTCTGCTTTTATTAGTTTAACTTTTAAAGATGCAAAACTTTTGTAATAAGGCTGTGTTCTCACCTAAAGAAAAGGAAATATTAAGTGAGTTTTGAATAACAATAAGTTTGACTTAATTAATTAATAGTTTAAGTTTTGTTGTAAGACATTTAAAATCTTGTGAGATGTTCTTTACTCAAAGTGCTTTGAACAAACTCTTTATCTTTTAATTATTTTTTGTTTAAATTTGAATGAAAAGCAGCATGATTCTTCCTTTTGGCTTTACTTTAAAGTATTTTTTTTTACTGATCTCAAAATACAGTAATTTAGTTCTCAACAATTTTGTTCCAACTGTCTCCCAAATATTTCATGTAATGTTGAAATGAGGGTACTAAATCAATTTGATCACCTATAGATTTTATATGGGAAATTCATTATTTTTTCTCAAATCTTAAGAATAGTTATCTATCTACAAAGTTTAAAGAAATTAACAAGTAAGTTATGCAAGCCAAAAAAATATTCAAAGAATTTATTGTTAGATTAGTGAGACTGGAAGTTAGCATTGTTTATTATGCAAAAATAACTACAGTTTTGGTAACAAAAAAGGAAATAAATTAATGCTAGCAGAATTATTTATTTATTTTTTAAAATGTTATGATCCTGTTTTCCTCTTTTGGAACCAAAATAAATTTGTGTCAATCCACCTATTTTCAGTTTGGCCAAACATTCATTGTTTACAACTCTTTGTTTTTGGCTTACATAACAGCCATCTTAATTGAACCATCTCAGTTCTCATAGCGGAAGTGAACTCAACACTCATTCAGTCCAAGAATGGCATTAACTTATAAAGGGTTAGATATTGTGTTTAATGAACTGTGTACATATATATCCTTTATGTATATATATATCTATATCTCAACACCTTAACAGTTGCTTATTCATTCCATTTATGTTCATAATGTGAATATGATGTTATTCCCTTCATCTAATTGTTTTATTTTTTTTTAACCATGTCATGGAGATTATGACACATTAAAATGAAGCACTTTTCAGTATATCATTCCTCAATTCTTTTTTTAACTCAATTATTTTTTTAACTCAATTATTTTTGTGTATGTCATTCATGGAGGTGAATTTTGTAAATTGAAGTTTTTATATTTGTATTTGTTTAAAGTGAAATGCCCAGCCATTCATTGTATATTTCATATCTTGAGTTTTTATTGATATTACAAATACCTATGTGGTTTACATTTGTTTAGCAGTTTCAAATTCATGATAATGATTTAAAATTTGGACCAGTATTTTTAGCTTGGTTTCCCCGTATGTGTTTTAAAATTAACACAATGTGGTTTCTGTTCCTGTCAAAACTTTTTTTTTTAAATGTATGCACATTGATCAACTATGTCATGTACTGCACCTATCACTAATTTTATTATATTTTATTAATTATTATCATATTATGAGAACAATAATATTACTATCAAATGATAAATAATTCATCTAGAGGAATTTTTAGAGAACAAAAATAATATTATTTACTTTTGATTCTCCATAATTAGTCTTATATAGTTAATATTAATATTCTTAAATATCCTTATTTAGATAAGATTTAATACTTCAAGTTAAAAACCCACTTAAGAAAAATTCATAAATAGTTGTGTTGATTATATTGTAATTGTTTAAAATATGAACCATCCTGTAAGTAACTTCAAGTCTGCTTAGCAGTAGACATCATTTAATATTATTAACATTCAAAGTATAATATAATGTAATATTTCAGTTTTAAAAAGCACTAAATTTTTGTAACTAAGACAAAGTTTCACCTATTTTGTGTACAAAATCTGTCAGTCATAGTTTTTAGGTCAATATAAAAATTGCTGATTTTTTCAATAGGTACAGCTTAAATATTAAACAACCAACCACTTTTAAAGCAAATCTGATTGTTAGAGGATCATAAAATAATAACTGTCTAAATAATCTGAGTGCTTTTCATTATTTATTTTAAAGAAAATAAGTTTTTTAAACTCAGCTTAAGGAATTTCTCATTTCACAATATATATTATCATGTGCTTGCACTATAGATTGGTGCAGAACCAGTTTAATTTATATTTCACACCTAATTTAATACATGTAATATCAAGAAATTGATATCCAACAGTAAATTTGTGTCAAAAGTTCACATCCACCCAATAAAATATATCAGCTATTTTCTTCTATTGCTGTTCATTTTTTGTGTTACTTTATTATAGTACTGATACCATATGTTTACAGTCCATAGAATGTGTATGTACAATTTGTGTCATACACATTGCGTGTATGTACTATTATATTAGTCATGGACAGGGTGTATTTATTATTATTATGTCTCAGTCACTCACAAAATGCATTTGACATCAGTTTCAAACAAAAGTGATTTTTTATTTATTTTATTTTATTAAAAGTGAAGTTGAGTTTAGATGAGTCAAGTCCATGGTGTGGTGAAGTTCTAACACATTGTTTTTAGCTATTTTTAAAAACAAAGTGCATAGATGATGGCATATACAGATGAAAGTTTTACTACCGGCACTTCAATGAATGATGAATAAATAATAATTGATTTTGATATCCGTTTATCCACTCAGTTTTTTTCTAAAATTAAAGAAAGACATGGAGAGTTAGTGGCATACATATAGTGGCATATATACATAATTATATATATATATATAATTACAAAATACACAGAAAAATGATAGCTTAAAATTTTAAAAATTAACTTGTGACATTATCACAGTGCCTTTTTACCAGTAATCCTAATTGGGCTTGCTTATGAAGTTAAGACTTGAATGGCTGTTCCCATGTCCTGCCTTACATTACCCACTGCCCCCTTTTTCAACTGGAAATATATTTCTCAGTGAGACTAAATGTCAGCCTCCCGCCCCCGTGGGAGGGAAACACTGCTGTAATGTTAACACACTAGTTAATGGACCCTGGGTAAGAACTGTATATAGAATATATAAATAACTGATTTCAATTAAAAAAAAGGTGTAAATTAAAAACAACCTGTTCAGCTTCCTGTAAAGCAAATGGTTTACATAAAATGTAAAACTTGAATAAGTTGAAACTATTTAACAAGGTAGGAATGTTTGTCCATCATAATAAAAAATTATTTAACATGTGTATTATTATTTTTAATAAAAATATTTTTAAATAAAAAAAATTAAAAATGTATATATTATTTTTAAACTATTTCTCTACATAAATCCAAATAATTTAGGGAAAATTTTTTTTAAGACCTTGCATTTAATGCAGTATTTTATTATATCATTAAGGTCTGTCATAACTACTTAGTAGTTCAAAACTATAAATTTTTGTCAGGTACGGTAAAAAAATAAGTTAGTCATTTTATTTATTTTTATTATTCAGCTCATCTACTTATTGAGGACCATATAAGAGAGAGAGCAGCAGGCCACTGGATGTAAAATAAAGATATCTGAACGAATGAGAAATCAGGTTTAAATTTAACAAAATTTATGATAGTGCCATGGAGGTAAAACATCATCTGTTAGTGATAACAAGAAAAATAGTTTCAAACTTATTTTTAAATACTATCAAAAGAAGGAGTCTGGGGACTGCAAAATAAGAATACTTTACAAAGTTTAATCTTAAAGATATAGGCCTATCATCTTCACTACTTAACATCACAATATTGATTATAATAAATCAAACTATAAAGCCTACGTGGGTGCCAATTTTACTGTTGAACAGCTTGATGCTGTTTGCCCGTTTTAATATAAATGAAAAATCTTGAGAAAAAAAAATCAATTTTGGATGCGGACTGCAGTAATGCAAAGAGAAAACAAAACATTATTTCTCTTTTATTCAACTTGATTTTCATACTTGCTTTAGAACTCATCTGAATGACTTTAGTTGTATCTGCAGCAGTTCATAATACTTTTATTGTGAGAAGATAGGGGTTATATTATTTGCAATGCATATTGTTCATCACTTTGGATGTGGGCTTGTTGAAAACTCATAGTATATATTATACTGGTTTGAGTATAATTGCAACTCAGTATCTGACTGAACTCAGAAAAGCTAAATACTCTACTAGGGGGGGGGGGGGGGGGGGGGGGGGGGGGGGGGGGGGGGGGAAATTTGGTTGCCATTGATGACCGGTACAGTATTAGTTCATTTTTCTTTATTATAAGACTGATAAGTTGAATAAGTTGAAACTATTTAACAAGGCAGGAATGTTTGTCCATCATAATAAAAAATTATTTAAAATGTGTATTATTATTTTTAATACAAATATTTTTAAATAAAAATAATACTGATTTTTTTATGCGCGAAAATGATAATAAGATCAATTATTTGCAAAGTAAGCATTTAGTCATAATTATAATAAGTTTTTTTTTAAATACAGCAATGAATTCATATCTCTTAATGAAACTGTAAAAATCATATTGATTGGAAGTAAAGTAAAGTCAATTAGTCCATATCTGTCAAATATGTCAAAGATAGTTTCCCCATTATGATCTCAGACCAACTTTAGCTCCCTCAAATCTGAATGAATTGTTGACTTCCCACTTCTTCCGCCATGGACTAAAACCCTTTCAGATGTAACTATAGCAGTATGGCCAGCTCTTTGAAGAGATGAACAGTCCAGCTGGTAGAAATTTGTTAACGGCTTCAGGGATATCATAAACATATCCCCAACAGGATCATGGCTTTTCCCATCAAAAGTTTCTCCTCCATGAATTAAAATACAATTGGACCCAACTGCAGAAATGTGATGCCTCCTCCCGCAAGGAAATTTGAGCATGGGACTTTGGAAATTCTTTAAATGCTCATGGATTTTTGTTAATGGACTGCATTCATTATGATTTCTCTTATCGATTCCAACCACTTTTTCCAGCAAACTATCACTTCTCCCTCCAACAATATAAATGTTTTTACCAATGAGATCAGTTGTGTGTCCGGATCTAGAAACAACATTGTCTGAACATTCATGGTAAGTAAACATTCCATCAAGCACATTCCCTATTAATATGTAAACACATCCGTGCTTGCGCTGAATACGTAAACTTCCTTCCCTTCCAACGATTATGATGTTTCCATCTATCCTAACCGTTGCTGTGTGGGAGCTCAAGCCTGCACCATCAGGAAATCCAGAATGTTCCAGCTTAAGCCACTGATTCATTTGTGTGTCATATGCATGTAAATTAGCTACCCTCTTCCTCCCGTCCCATCCACCAATCAACACCATGTATCTATTCTCTAAAACCACTGCTGCATGGTGGCTTAAGGCTGGGGAGCCTGGAGTTCGGATCTGTTCCCATACAGTGGATGTCAGATTCAGCTTGAAAAATTGGTTAGACGGAAATTTAGAACTCACATCTTGCATTCCTCCATGAATATAAAGAGTATTATCTATAACACTGCTAACGTGAAAGGCTGCCTTAGGTCCTAATGTAACAATTGGGTCCCACTGCAAATTTATTTTTTCTGTATATTTTGCTCTGCCAAAAATGTCTGTTTCTCTCAATGACGAACATTTGTCCTCCTTACAAACCTGAAAACAAATAAGATAGGAACTTCTTAGTTTATATCATATATATTTTAGTTAAATTAATGCAGAAACAACAATTTGAAACAAAACAAGTAGGATAAGAAATTATTGAAACATTATTTGTAAATTCTCACGAGCTACCCTTGTTATGTCCCTCTAAACTATGTTTAGCCGTATTTATAGATAAAAACCTAGGTCATTGATAAAATATAATAAATATAATTTATTTTATAAATAATAATAGGGGGCGTCCATTAATTATGTCAACAAAATAGGGGGAGGGGGTTTGGATATGTTTGACAGTTGTTGACAAAGGGGGTGGGGGGGGGGGGGGATTAGTTGACGTTAAGAATCATGTTTTCACTATTAAAATGTTAATGTTAAAAATTGACTGTTTATTACATTATTTTCACAAATGTATAAGTGTAATTGAGTGTAAATAGTCATATAATTTTTAGGCTTTAACAATATAAGATTTATTTAATGTGTGTCCGGCTGTGCACTGCAGATGGCTGGTCAGAATGTTAGCACACTTTGTTAGTGCAAAAAAAAATCAAAAGTTGCCTCTTTTCCCCTGTAAATTCTGTTGCAGGTATGGAACAAGGACAAGGTTCAAGTGTCCTGTGCAGTCAAGATAAATGATATTGATAGAGTAGGACACAGTATTTTGTATTTTGAGAATATTAAGGGGAAAGTAAAGTGAGTAAAAATAATAACATCGCTGCTTGAATGGATTTGCAAAATCTGTAACATCTATTTTGCATCACAAGTCATGTTGAAAAAGCATGTTCAACAGCACCGACAATACCCTCTTGAGCATAATAAATTAGCACCTGCTCCTGAACAAAAAAGGATTCGACCAATGCGAGTAGCTGCAAGGAGATAGAGATAGCTTATGACAATTATTGCTCACACCGACAATGCTTATATTTTAAGTGCTGAATGGTTAGATGAGGATGATGACTTGTCTGTTATATCAGTTCCGCAAGATGAAAATGATATATCAGCTACTATAGACTATGCCCATTAGGGGCATCATTTCAGGGTTTTTCTTGGGGGGCAAACCCAAAACTTGGTCGGCTTGTTAAGCTGTTAATTACTGGAGGCGCCACAGAACATAGCAATTTTTTTTTTTTTTAAACTGCAAATTGGGGGGGGGGGGGGGGGGGGGGGGGGGGGGGGGGGGGGGCGGCGCGCCAAATGCCCCCCTGCCCTACCCAAATGATGTCCTTGATGCCCATTGTTACAATAGAGCAACACCTGCTATTCCATGGGAAGATGAAAGCAGCTAGAAACTATACTGTAATTGTAAGCTTTACTTAGTCTTTACTGACAATAAACATATTTATACCACAAACAATGATATTTAGTCTTTAACAAGCTTTCAGTTGATTCTACATTATAAAATTGAAGGGTAAAAACTTTTTAACTTGATAAACAAGCTAAAAATGTAATAAAATGTTTTTCCTACAATTTTGTGTCATTAAAATAGATGAGCACAAAGTAAAATTTAGACTACTTATAATATAATTCATTAATTTATTTTTTATTAAATTTTTTATTATTTTTTTTGGTTATAAAATGTTGACATAATTAAATATTAGTTTAATGGGTACATTTTAAGGAGGAATGCCACTATTTTATCGAATTTCACGAATCTATCTCTAAATCGATCCCTATGCCTAACCTGAACCCTAAATCGATCCCTAATACTATGCCTAACGGTTAACCTGAACCCTAGGCCCTAAGCCTAAATGAAAATGGATCCCTCAACCTAAACTAACCTAAACCCTAATTCTCTGCAACTATAATAAACACACAAAAGACGCCGTGTCATCCGTCCTTAATTATAACCGTTTAATGCACCCAAAATAATAATTATAACCCTTAAAATTATGACAGTAGTCTAACTTAGAAATTAAAAAGGACTTGTTTACCCTGCCTACCCAGTCAGTGTTTGGTGTTATCAGTCGAGTGCGATAAGTAGAGGCAGAGGTGCTGGCGCTACGTTCATGTCTCTTTACTTTGTTTCTTCTTGCAGTAGAGCCAAATGGTTGCATGGGGACCTTAGGTTCCATTGAGTTTTAGTTGTTTTATTTGAAATTAGGTTCAGTGTGGTATTGTAATAAAAATAGGCTTCTATTGTTGTGAAGGACGCTTAGAGACTGTTAGATCATCGCGGCGCCATGTTCAAGTTACCCGGATATTCACCAAGTCCCACAATGCAACGCTAACATGGTAGGTCTACTACAGTGATGTAGGAGAATGGTCGATCAAGACTAAAACAAAATATAAATCGAAAGTTAAGTGGTTTTAAACCCGAATTTGTATATATAAGGTAATCATTAAGATAAAATGTACAGTATAGATTTATAATTTTCTCATATGGTATGATTTTTTTCCATAACTATTAAAAAACTCATGATGTTAGGGCTTCTATATTGTGCAGAGAAGAATCGTCCTCGCTAGTACTAGTACAATAATTCAACTTAGTTTTATCCTTCTGTTGTGACAAATGCATTGTAATTTATTCCAGAGAACTAAGATATTTTTATAGACTTTTTGGTAATTTAATTGTATTTTACATTGATATACTTAATTATCTATTATAGTTTTTTTATTCTTTGTATTGCAGATGTGATAATTCTAGGTAGGTCTACCACAACTTACAATTACAAAGTGAAAGTCTGAGACTAAGAAGGTGATTAGGAGTCAAGTAACTCAGGCCTGTACAACAAAGTGCAAGAGGATTCAGGAGGGTGTCTTGTAACATCTGTTGAACTGCAAAGGACTCAGTATTGTGTATGGACTTGTTTTGCCTACCAATTTTAACATATGTGGGTGGGCTATGTATTATTATGACATAGTTACATAGTGTTTTCATATTCATAGTATAGTAAAGACCTACCAGATCAGCCAAGACTAGAGTATTTGATCATCAATCATGTCATCAACCTTATACTTAATTCTAAACACATTATAAATAGGCTCTAGTTCTTTTTAAAATTGATGGAGCTAGCAATAAACATAACAATTTTCAACAGTCAACGATTTTGGTTAATTGTTCTGTCATTACACAATTCCTTCATTATTGGGTATTGAAATAGAAAATTGCATTTACTTAGGCCTTCTTAATAATATATACAGTCATAACATCAGGCTAAACATTTTATTGTAAGACTGTGCTGTGGTTGGGCCCCAATTGATTTGCATGATGTTCTGATCCTAAATGTGCTCCACACAGAACTTTTTATTAATTAGTTCAAATACCAAATGATGGCACTGAAGAATATTTAAACAGTTAAGTCCCATTTAGGGCATTATAATTAAATGTAAAATAAAAGAATTATTAAGGTTTTTTTTAAATGTCCAACTAGTTACAAATTTAACTAATTAATTTTTTTAATCAATTTAAAGTGACATCTATTTTATGCAACTATTGCTTATAGATTAAATTTGTGACAATGCTAATAGCTTCCTCTTGTTTTCTTATTCACTCTTTCAGTGTTATCTTTTTGGGGGACATTTATTACATCAGTAGTATACACAAAAGCTTTGAAAAAAATGTATTGAACAAATATGTTTCAAATAAACAGTATGGAAATTTAAAAAAATCATATGTTAATTTATTTTCCAGAAATGAAAATGGCAAATAAAGCTAAAGACCCAGATTTAAATGGTCTGGATATTTCTCTGATACGAAATCCCATTCAAATCAGTGGAAAGCCAATAGAGCAAGTCTTGAAGAGTGTACACTATGGCAGCCCAGAGCTTAGGTGTCTTTTGCTAGATGAATGTGACCTTATTTTTGAGTGCAAAGTATGTCGAGCATTATTTAGAGATCTACCAAACTTTATCTCACACAAACGTGCATTTTGCACAAAATCATCTCTAGAAAATAGGCATGTGACAATTGCTAGTCTTCCAGAGGAAAAGGTTGTTATCATCCACCCCCAAGCTCCAGAAGAGACAGAAGAAACTGGTAAATCCAACAAAGATGCAGCTTCTAAACAGGTGAAGCAACCTAAGCCAACTCTAAATGAAACTATCCAGCGGATACAATCTGGTGAACTGGGTAAATCTCTAGCATATAAGGTTTATACAGAAGCAGCTGAAAAACTTCAGAGTCAAAAAGAGGGGATGAAGATAGCCACTATTAGAACTACAGCTATTCCCACCAACAAAAATGCTGTCTTTATTGATGTGACCTCAACCTCAGTGAACATTCATGAGAGACTACAACAGCAAAACTCCAACAGCGCAGCATTGCCTTCCAATCTAGAACCAAGCAGACCGGATGCTTTAACGCCTGCCAAAGCCAGAAAAACTTCAGAAAGGCTCAGTGCTCCTGCTGGCTCACGTTCTCCAAGACACTCACGTAAACCTAACAAACAGGAGAAGCATGCCACTGAACCACAGAAACTCTTGATGGAGCAGCTGAAGGAGATTCAGCATAAGGTTAAACAGAAGGCTGCCACACAGGAACCTTCACACAACCATGTGAAAGGAAAAGCTAAAGTTGGAAATGCAACTGGCAGTAAAAATGATCAGGTAGCTGTTACAAAGGATGCAACAGCAAAAGCTGAAAATACTGGCAGTAAAGATGATCAGGTAACTCTTACAAAGGATGTACCAGCAAAAGTTGAAAATACTGGCAGTAAAGATGATCAGGAGGCTACTCAGCATATTGATTTAAGTGCATTGGCAAGACAAAATTTCCAATCTCTGCTGGCTAAAGAGGAAAACAAAGCCCATACCAAGAAAAGGGTTGAAGTACAAAAAAATACTGATAAAGCCATTGTAAAGCGAAGAGGAACCAAGGTGCAAGTCACCACTGCCAAGACTAATGCAACAGAGTTGGCCAAAGATCTTGTGAAGATGAGCTCTCGTTTGCGTCCGTCAAAAAACTCACTAACATGCGGGAGATGCAACTCAATATTTTCCAGTAGGAGAAGTTTAAACTTTCATAATAGTATCCACCACTCTCCCAAAAGGGTCTTTTATCAGTGCCCGTATTGTTCTAGTGCGTTTTATTACTTCTTTGGCATAACCCGACATTTGTTTAATAATCATTCTAAAACAGCTAAAGAGATAGATGACATGCGTCAAATGCTGAGGGATAATGCTGTCACTAAGCCAGCTCCACCGCCTAGGCAGACTAATGATCTTCGTGAGAGGCTTGACTCACGACGTAGAATCAGGTGTAGTTTAGCTCTTTCAGGGGCAAGTTGCACTCCTACCAGTGATGGTGATATTGTAAAGATTAAAAGCAAAGATGATCAGCATGCTAGTAAACATGTGGGCAGTTCACAGTCAGCCCTCCCAACTAAAATGGACAATGAAACTAACAAGCAGCCTAGTAAAGACAGGCAATCTGATGAAAAGGAAAGCAAAAAAGGATCCCTTAATGTTTCAACCAGTTCAGATTCATCTGTGATCATTGTTTCATCTCTTCCCAGCCCTGCTCCATCATCTGTCAAATCTGAAGATGGGGTGGAAGTCTCGCGTGTTTGCTCAAGGTGCCAACGCTCATTTGGCAGGAAAATAAGTTATGAAAATCACACTAAAATCTGTCAAGCTGATGGCAGCTCAGGGAAAGACCAAGATGACAGGCATGGTAACGCCAAATCTAATTTAAGTGAGAGCAGTTCCAGGGAGTTGGTAGCAAAGCCTAAACGACTGAGCAACTCTTTTGATTCAACTAAAATCGTTGAAGTCAAAGGTATTGGTACCAGAAGCAGGAAGAAAGATTTCTCAGAACAGAATGTTGGTAAATCATCAGCTGTGGTTTCCCCTCAAACTGATCACACATTGAGATCTGCAAGTGCTGACAGAGATTTGTCTCCCAGAAGAAGAAATCAAAGCCAAGAAAAAAGGCATTCCGTCAAAGCCAAGAGGGATTCATCTGTTGAAAGTACGCAGAGCAACATAGAGAGCAGAAATTCACGATCACGTCGAGTTGTCGGTTCAAAATATGGAACAGAAGCCCTGCAACACTCTGTAACCACGTTTGTAAAGTCACCAGCTAAACTTGAAAACAAATTGACACCAAGTGCCACAGAGGTCATGACCACACGGTCACCTGGTAAATCTAACTTAACACCCACCACTTATGAATTGGTCAAAACTAACCCACTCAGACAAACAAAATCTGGTGGAATTTTCCAACTTGAAAAAAACAGCCCAAACAAATCTGTGACTAAACTTAAGGCAAAGAAGACATCTTATAGAATTACTGCTGTCAAGAATGTTAAAAGGAAGCGCTTGTCTGATATTCTTCCTGCTAGCCCAGGCAAAAGATCTTTTGCCCGCTCCGATGTCAAACAGGTCTCAGGCTGTCCCCAAAAGACCTATTTTGCTCCAAGACATCAGAGCATTCCTTGTGGCCCCCTACAAAAATCCACAGATGAGATCCCGACAGATTCCTCACCTAATAAGAGGTTATCACCAGCGCCCTCTGCCAACCATGCTCAGGATTTGAACTCACCAAGAAAGCCCACACCTCTTGCAGCGGCCGGATCTGAAAATAATACAGACATGGATACCTCTCCATCCCATCCATTGCTAGACAAAATGGAAACCCCATTTTTGGATGACAAGGAGGAAAAGAAAACCCAAATTGATGTTGGGGATACAGATCTCATACTGAAATCAGAAGGCAAAGATGAGATTCCCCATAAGGTATGTGCATCATCAGGGTCAGCTGATAGTGTTAAAAATGAGTTGGATAAGGACGTTAAAGATCTTGAGACCGACACTGCAATTTTGCCACTGCAGCCTTCTTTGTCATCAAATATGGAAAGGTTAGTTCATTCAGATGACTTTGACAGGCAAAAGGATGACAAGAAAACTATTGTCAAGCAGGACAAGGAAGTTTCCTCAGTAGTGCCCGCTAGTGCTTTATCAGAGAGGCCGAAACGAAAAAGAAAAGTGCCAACCAGAAGTCTAGACGCCAAAGAAATGCTGTCGAAAATTCACCAGCACTGTCGAAGTGATCCACCTAAAAAGAAGCCACGCTTATCTAATAAATCACCAGAACAAATGAGAAAGAAGGATGGCATGGCTATAGGATTAACCAAAGTGCATCAAATCTCTAACAAAACACAAAGAGAAGCAAAAGAAGTTGTCTCTTCAAAGAAAGAGGGAAGAAAAACAAAAGAGCAGCCCAGAGGCACTGATAATGAAGAAGAGGGGGACATGG